TTATCCATTCAGTAGGGCTGTTTCTGATCAGTACATTGATTTACACATCAGCAACTTCCTCGGGCTTAAACATATTTAGCAGGATTCTAAGCACAAGACAAACCAACGAAATTGGGGATACAATATTGTAGGTATCATCAAAATCAGATCCGCCTTGGCAGGGTAAGATCTGGTTGGAACAAATATTGACGATAGTAACAGTGAAAGAACACTTCAACACCGAATTGCATTTAGCGGAACAAAACAAACTGCTGAGAGACCCACCAACGAGATCAGAGATCCCAAGGAACGGCGAGGATGCTATAGAAAAACAGGCAAGGCTACTGAGAGACAACGTAGAGAGAACAGACATCCTGTAAGATAATGAAAAAAAAGCTTGAGCCTGAAAAACGGACCCAGAATTTACTACAACGAGGTGCAGAAAACATTAGGGCGTTGACAATTTTTGACAAACTCGGATGTGGAGGTGTCGAAAGGGAGTTTAAAGATATTGTGATAATGGCCAAGTGCTTCTTTCAAAAAAGTAAAAAGCGTGACTCACAAAATGTAATAAAAGTTCACAAGTAAAAAAAGAACAAAGTGAGACTGTCAAAGCACTTCTCGCAGCACTAAATGCAGAAAAAGCCAGTGCAATTTGGTAACCCAACCTTGGAAGATAAATTAGGTTGAGATGTTTTATATCAAGAATGCGGAACTCGACATTTCAAGACACACTTGCTTTGGAAACACTGAAACCGGAAGACGTATTGAAATTGCTTTGGAAACACTCACACCGGAGAAATATTGAAAAGGGCCAGAAAATTTGTACATGAAAAACGAAACAACACTTGTATCTTCAAAAAAAACGCGGCTGAAACTGCAGAGGCACGAATAAAATCTAGCTCAGGAATTAAAACCAAATAGGAACCAAAAGTGGCAGACACTATTTGAATGGAGGAACCAGTAGGCATACAATGGGCTCTTAAACAAGAAACAGACCATATAGGAAAAAAGCCATATAATGGACGTGGTCCTTCCTTCTCAGATTGACTCTTGAAATTTTGCCCGGCAAAAACTGCAAAAATTTATTCATGCTGCAAAAATTCGCCGCTCGCAGCAAGTCAACGAGACAGTAGAAGAAATGATTCTGGTCTTGAAAATGAATATATATCCGTTCAGCAGGGCCTTTTCTGATCAGTACATTGTTTCACACATCAGCGAATTCATCAGGCGATTACATAGTTAGCAGGATTCTAAGCAGAAGACAATCGCTAGAAAATGGGGATACAAGTATTGAGGGTATCTTCAAAATCAGATCCGCCTTGGCAGTTTAAGATCTGGTTGGATCAAATTTCGACGGCAGTAAAAGGGAAAGAAAACTTCCACACCGAATTGCGTTCAGGGGACCAAAACGAAGGGCTGAGAGACCCACCAACGAGACCAGAGATCCCAAGGAACGGCGAGAATGCTAGAGAAAAACAGGCAGGGCTACTGAGAGACAACGTAGAGAGTAGACGTCCTTCAAGATAATGAAAAAAAGCAAGAGGCTGAAAAAGGGAACCAGCATTTACTACAACGAGGTGCAGAAAACATTAGGGCGTTGACAATTTTTGACAAACTCGGATGTGGAGGTGTCGAAAGGGAGTTTAAAGATATTGTGATAATGGCCAAGTGCTTCTTTCAAAAAAGTAAAAAGCGTGACTCACAAAATGTAATAAAAGTTCACAAGTAAAAAAAGAACAAAGTGAGACTGTCAAAGCACTTCTCGCAGCACTAAATGCAGAAAAAGCCAGTGCAATTTGGTAACCCAACCTTGGAAGATAAATTAGGTTGAGATGTTTTATATCAAGAATGCGGAACTCGACATTTCAAGACACACTTGCTTTGGAAACACTGAAACCGGAAGACGTATTGAAATTGCTTTGGAAACACTCACACCGGAGAAATATTGAAAAGGGCCAGAAAATTTGTACATGAAAAACGAAACAACACTTGTATCTTCAAAAAAAACGCGGCTGAAACTGCAGAGGCACGAATAAAATCTAGCTCAGGAATTAAAACCAAATAGGAACCAAAAGTGGCAGACACTATTTGAATGGAGGAACCAGTAGGCATACAATGGGCTCTTAAACAAGAAACAGACCATATAGGAAAAAAGCCATATAATGGACGTGGTCCTTCCTTCTCAGATTGACTCTTGAAATTTTGCCCGGCAAAAACTGCAAAAATTTATTCATGCTGCAAAAATTAGCCGCTCGCAGCAAGTCAACGAGACAGTAGAAGAAATGATTCTGGTCTTGAAAATGAATATATATCCGTTCAGCAGGGCCTTTTCTGATCAGTACATTGTTTCACACATCAGCGAATTCATCAGGCGATTACATAGTTAGCAGGATTCTAAGCAGAAGACAATCGCTAGAAAATGGGGATACAAGTATTGAGGGTATCTTCAAAATCAGATCCGCCTTGGCAGTTTAAGATCTGGTTGGATCAAATTTCGACGGCAGTAAAAGGGAAAGAAAACTTCCACACCGAATTGCGTTCAGGGGACCAAAACGAAGGGCTGAGAGACCCACCAACGAGACCAGAGATCCCAAGGAACGGCGAGAATGCTAGAGAAAAACAGGCAGGGCTACTGAGAGACAACGTAGAGAGTAGACGTCCTTCAAGATAATGAAAAAAAGCAAGAGGCTGAAAAAGGGAACCAGCATTTACTACAACGAGGTGCAGAAAACATCAGGGCGTTGACAACTTTGGACAACCTCAGATGTGGAGGTATCAAAAGGAAGTTTAAAGATATTGTGATAATGGTCAAGTGCTTCTTTCAAAAAAGTAAAAAGAGTGACTCACGAAAGGTAAAAACAATTCACCAGTTATAAAGACAAAAGTCAGACTCTTAAAGCATTTCACGCAGCACTAAATGCAGAATCAGCCAGGTACGAGCTGGTAACCCAATCTCGGAAGATGAATTATAATGAGATTTTTTTGTATCAAGATTGCGGAATTCGACATTTCAATTCGACATTTCAGGACTTGCTTTGGAAACACTCACACCGGAAGATGAATTGAAAACGGACATTAAATTGTCCCAAAAGTATTGAAACGACACTTATATTTTCAAAAAAAACGCGGCTGAAACTGCAAAGGCACGAATAAAATCTAGCTTCGGAATTAAAACCAAAAAAGAACCAAAAGTTGCAGACATTATCTGAATGGCGGAACCAGTAGGCCTATGAGGAGCTCTCAAACAAGAAACATGCCATAAAGAAAAATGCCATGTAATGGACGTGGTCGTTTTTTCTCAGATTGTTTTTTGAAAGTTTGCCCAGCAAAAACTGCAAAAACTTATTCATATCGCAAAAATGTGCAGGTCGCAGCAAGTCAACGAGGCAGTAGAAGGTTTGATTCTTGTCTTGAAAAGGAATAACCGTTCAGTACATTCGTTTTGTTCAGTACGTTGTTTTACACATCAGCGAGTTCAACAGGCGATCACATACTTAACAGGATTTCAAGCAGAAGACAATTGCTCAAAAACCAGGATAAAAGTTTGTTGGGTATCATCAAAATCAGATCCGCCTTGGCAGTTGAAGATCTGGTTGGAACAATCTTTGACGGCAGTAACAGTGAAAGAAAACTTCCACACCGAGTTACGTTCAGCGGACACAAATAAAGTGCTGAAAGACCTACCGCCGAGACCAGAGATCCCATCCCAAGGAACGGTGAGGATGCTAGGGAAAAAGAGGCAAGGCTACTTAGAGACAACGCGGAGAGAGTAGACGTCCTGCAAGATAATGAAAGAAAGCTTGAAACTGAAAAACCGACACATCATCTACTACAACGAGGTGCGGATAACATTAGGTCGTTGACAATATTTGACAAACTCAGATCTGGAGGTATCGAAAGGTAGTTTAAAGATATTGTGATTATGGTCAAGTGCTTCTTCAAAAAAAACTAAAAACGTGAATCACATAGATAAAAACAATTCATGCGTTATAAAGATGAAAATGAGACTCTTAAAGCATTTCACGCGGCACTAAATGCAGAACTAGCCAGGTAAGAACTGGTATTTCAAACTTGGAAGATGAATTAGGTTGAGATTTTTTATGTCAAGAAAGCAAAACTCGACATTTCAAAACACAAATGCTTTGAAAACACTCAAACCGTAAAATAATTTGATGGAAATCGAAGTTTTACATTTGTTTCATCCAGTTGTTTTTATTAAACTTCACATCTACTACAAGTTCTTCGACCTTCGTGGCATGTTTGTGAAATTTCTGTGGTTTATCTGCTGCAGTGGCCAGTTCAAGTTGAGTTGTATGTTTCATCAGAAATTTGGAGTTTAATCATAATCATAATAGTCATGAAATTGTTTCCACTCTAGGATTACCATAATATAACAGGGTTATTACACCATTTCAAAGCCTATTGAAATGTTAGTGTCATTTTTTGAACAAACTGTATTTTCAATTGAAAGTCAAGAAATATTGCATGCTCAAATGTGTGTTCTTAAGTTTTTTTGAAATCTTGAAATTCCAATTGAATCACGCTCAAAATGGCCAAGTATAAAAAAATTTCATGTATCGACAAACGACGTTTAATCGAATCGCATAATATGAATCGCGTTTATAAATATATTTAATCGAATCGCGTTTATAAATATATAGATTGGGACGACGCCATTTTATATCCTGAAAGAACATTTTTTTGGTGCCTCAAGGTTGTTTTTCTGAGTCTTAGTGTATCCTGATTCGATAATAAATCTTGCAGGTTTTGTTGATAAGTGTGAGGTCATTTGAGTACTCACAGATAACCCTTGAATGGGGTTGATATAGATGACTTCTTGACAGGGCAATGTTTTTGAGTGATTGCTAAAAGATGTCTTCAGATATTTTGAAAGAAAACTTTGGTCTCTGATTTTTTTCCAAAATAAGAGGCGATTTCTGCTGTTTTTGACTAGCACTGCAATGATACAAAAGAATGGGGTGTAGGGTTGTTGTGGATAAAAAGTTGCTTCAGGCCAAGATGCGTAAGTTGAAGTATGCGACAAGTGTGGAGAAGAAGAACTCTCTCAACTGTGACCTGGAGAAGGGGCAGAAATGCATGCTGTCCAAACTACAAGGTTTGGAAACACAATTTAACAATTACATACAGCACCATGGCCATTAAAAAAGGAGAATGAGGCAAATCAAATATTTGAAGAGAAGCTTAGTTAAATTTTTAAAGGAAGCTTCACTGGAGCTTGACTATACAATTGATTTCAGTTGGGCAAACTGAATTCTCTTACATAGCGTGGTGAGGGAAATTTGTTAAGATTTTGTTTTCTTTTTTTCTTTTAGTTTTTTTAACAGCATGACATACTCCCTGGACCTTAAGGGTCTGCCTTGTTAATCATGGTTGCTAGAGGCGTACAAAGGATTAAATGCAAATCAAATTTTTGCATCAAAATTTCATTTTGCCTCAGGTATCGAGTATTTGCGGATTTGCTCAGGCCCAATTCGAAACATTTCTGATTAAGGTGTTGTTCTTCATGCAGTCGTTGTAGGATTTTTTAAGCCGCATCTTATAACAATTTTTTTGTAAAGCCTCAAAGGCAATCATTGTTAACAGGGGTCAAAAATAAACCAATATGACCAATTATAAATGCAAAATTCAGACCATGATATTGATCATCAGGGGCAGATTTAGGGGGAAGGGGCGGGGGGGGGATCGGACGCCTCCACCCTCCTCGGGGATTCGACCCCCTGCTAACCCAAAGGGTCTCCCCTTTGATACTTTTTCAGAAATCCATTTTGGCCGACCGACCCTAAAATTTTTCTAAAAGCGCCTTCGGCGCGAATATATACTAACTTTGAGGGGGAGCGCGCGCCAAAAAAAACGCGATTTTTTGTCAAAATTTTTCAAAAAGTGCCCAAAAACGGCCTTTTTGACTGTTTTTTCAAAAATTTTCCTGCGGCGCAGAAATTTTTTTGCCAAAATAGGGGCAAAAAAGTGCTTTGGGAGAGCTTGAAAAGTCAATTTGCTCGACCTAAAAAAAGGTCGTCAAAATTTTCAATTTTATTTTGAAAATCCCCCCCCCCCCCCCCCTCGAGAAAATCCTAGATCCGCCCCTGTTGATCATAATGTCAATATACTCGATTTTTTCATCAATCTTTGTTATCCTAAATCTGCTGTAGTCCTTTCTTAATCTTTTTTTATATACTGAATATCAATACTTTTGTCGAATTAATCTCTCTTGATTGATTTTTATTGAAGACAAAATCGGTTGTAATCCAATAAAAACAATCATATTCCACTTTCTTTCAATTACCAAATCAATTATGGAATGAAGGCTTCCCTGAACCAATTTGGAACGATTTCTAAGAAGGATTAAATCCCCGATAGCGCCTAATATATCTCGAGTCAATTGTCTCAAATTGGCCGAAATGGTGAGCTTCAAACCCCTATAGCTTTACGAAAACTGATCACAGGTGAAATATATTTTCAAATTTAAGCTCAGGAAAACAACAGCTTTTGAATGATATAAAAAATTCCGTCAAAAATGGCTAGTTAAAAGGTCGAAATTTGTGAAGAAAAAAACACACCCCGAGCACAAACATTCCGTTACTTTCGTTACGAAAGTCGGAACAAAAACTTCGAAACTTTTGCGTACATTACAATGAAATCAAAATTGTGAAGGTTAAAATCTAATTTAAATTGATTTTAATCAATTATTTCGCACTTTTGTATATGCTGATTATAGGATTGCAGTATAACTGATTATGATTCATGTTCGCCATCCCTGTTCGCCATCCCCGTGTAGGTGGGCCATCCCCGTTCCTAAATCTGCTACTGATTGTTAACAAAATTTAAAAAGCGATAAAAACTTTCACTTTTTGTGCAATTTATTTTTGAAATTGAATTTTAAAAAAGCTAGTGCAAATATTTAGGTAAAATTGAGGAGGTGGGAGTAAACTTGTTCAACGATTTTCCTCCTCTCATTCAATTGGCACAGATTTTATCCTACTACAGGTTTGGCCCTATTAATTTAAATAACAGATATCGGCCCATACAGATTTTGTCCTTTATCCAACAGATTTCATCCTGTTTAGGAATTTCAAGGTATTTGCGCATTATTTAGTTAATTGCGTCCTGTTGTGATTTGAAGCATTGAATTTGCTTTGTTTATATTTATTGTGAAATGCATTTTTTTTATATTACTTGCTTTTGAAAGAGCACACTTTAAAAAAAGTAGGACTTCCAAATTTGTACTTCCAATTTTTTACTTCCAAATTTGTGGGACGAAATCTACTGACTTTCAAAAATGTGGTACGAAATCTGTTTGCGCTTTGAAATGGGACGAAATCTGTTGAAAAAATTCTGGGGCGATATCTGTCATGGGACGAAATGCGTCACAGCCCACTCATTCAGCCATTAAAAAGTCACCCTTATCAAACATTTATATTCTATCACTTCCATCACTCCTCTTGAACGTGAAGAGTGGTTATTGGAAGAATGGCAATTGTGCTAAAAATCAAATAAAATGTTACACTGCTCTGACATGAAAAAAAAACAGAATATTTAAATATAAAAGCTAACGTGAAACGTAAGAACAAATGAAACGTAATACGTAGCAATTGCATTGAACTGGAAATGAAACAAGACTGCTCGTATGATCCGACGGCCTTTTAAGGTCTATGGAGCAGTAATAAAATTGTTGAGGTTAAAATTCATTTTTAATGGATTCTAATCAATTACTTTGCAATTTTCTAAATACTGATTATAGGATTACAGTATAACTGATCATGATTCATGTTCGCTCGGTGTAGGTGGGCCATCCCCGTTCCTAAATCCGCTACTGATTGACAACAAAATTTAAAAACGTTTAAAGACCTTCACTTCTTGAGCAATTTACTTATGAAATTGAATTTGAAAATACCTTATAGTGCAGTCAAAATTTTCAGGGCTTTGCCTTGATAAGAGTAGATTTGCTTCATCACCTAGCTAAAATCTACGCATGAGCGTTACAAAAAAACTCAACAAAACTCAACAAAATTCGCTCATCAAAACACCTAAACGCACCAACGGATTTAGGGGGGATTTTCAGGGATTCGAACCCCTGTTGACCCAAAGGATCCCCCTTTGAACTATTTTGAGATATCCATTTTTGGCTGACTGTTCCCAAAATTTCTTCAAGGTCGCCTTGGGCGCCAAATGACGCTAACTTTGAGGGGCGAGGGCGCACCGAAAAGACGCAATTTTTTTTTCAAAATTTTCCAAAAAGTACCTAAAAACGCCCTTTTTGGCCTTTTTTTCAAAAAAAATTGCCTGCGGCCCTGAGCATTTGGTCGAAATGGGGTCTTTATAGTGAATTGGTACAGATCAACAAATTTTTGATTTTTTTTGAAAATCTGCCCCACTCGAGAAAATCATAGAACCGCCCGTCTAAACGCCGGGGAAAGTACACATAGGAAAATTTTTAACCAGTCAGCTTTTTAATAGATATCACTTGTTAGTCAAATAATCTATATTTTCCGAGAAAGGTTTTTTTTAGTTTCAGCTAAATTTTTCAATTATTTCGAGCAAAATTTGATCTGTTGTTTTCCTAAGTTCTGGTTCGTCACTTCAAAGATGTCGACAAAGTTGAGAAGATGAACCTCTACTACTCCTACTCCAAAGTCAACTTTTCTCTACAGCAACTGCAGTCAGCCGAAGAAGCTGGAAACAACGGCTGGTTCTGGAATGTTGGGTTTTTCTCCAAACCAGTCAGTTATTTTCTATTGTAGCGCCTGATTTTTTTCCAATTACTTTTCTTATCCTATAGAATATCTTCTTAAATCAAAATGACGGCAACAATATTATGTAAGGAGAATAGTACGCCATAGTAAAATTAGGAAGAACATGACCAAATATATCCGCAGCAGCTAAGGTTTTCCCGAACTTCACACTTAATCAATCAAAGGTTTTGACAACTAATTTACGGCATTCATTTTTATCCATTAAGCAAATGTATAATAAATTTGATAGGGGCCTGCTTCAAATTTTTTTTGTTGTAATCCGTACAAAAGCTGCATTTTTGAATTTTTATCTCTGCGTTTTTGAAAATTGGCAGACATGGAACTTCTTAAAACTTAGATTATACTTGACGTAAAAGAGTAGCAGGAAGTCTCAACAAACAAATTGGATAAAATCGAAAAAATCAACATCTTATTTGCCTCTAGTCAAATCTATTTTCGATTCTCCTGCTATTTTGAAAGGTACTTATATCAAATATAGCCTACACATTTTATTCCATAGTCCAATTTATATTCTGCTCTAGGCCACAGAACTTTTTAACTTTTCAATCTAGGAGAAAAAATATAAAAGAAAATGATAAACAAGAGAGATTGCTCATATGTTGAAATATAATGGAAAAAACAACTTTTTTTTACCGTGAACTCATTTGGAAATTGGAAGCGCTTGGCTTTTATTAATGACAGCCAAAAAAAATTGATAATTTTTCTGTTAGTTTTCTATGACGTAATTAGTGCGTATTTTTATCAAACAGAAATCGGAACAGAAAATCAGCCTGGAAGCACTGGGGCATTTCTTCATCCAGTATACATCACAGGAACAAGACCGCGAATTTTACCGACAAGTGGTCAACATGATTGACCCGGAGAGAGATCTTGACGCGCCAAAGCGATTTGGTCAAAACGACTTGAAACCAGAGAACTCAGGAGAAAATAATTCAGAAGAAAAGTGAAAAGAATGAGTTATTCCTAATGGATATGAGTTATTTCTAATTGTTCGCGGACAATGGATTTAAAAAAAAACCGATCCTATTTCAGTTATTTGATGCTTAGACTAGCCTGCTTGAATCGTAGAGTGACGCTCTGAATGTCATGTTTAATTTGAGTGTCATGAAACTGTTGATCGTTTGAAATAGTTCAGCGTATTTAAAGCACGATTAAAATCAATTTTTTATAGAAAAATTTAGCATGCTTTTCGAAAGGTCTATTTCGAGATTTCTTTAGACAAGCATCTGAGACCAAATTAACATCCTCCCCCCCCCCCCCCCCAAGCCCGGTTTAGAAGGAGGATGTTAACTTGGTTCTCAGTTCGAAACTTAGAGCATTTTACATGTGCGGTGCTACGCAATTTTTTTTTAATTTGAGCGCTGGCAGTGAGAAGGGATCTTTGAGGGTAGGATGCTAATTTGATGATCCTACTGGGGACGTTCATGCAAATAACCTACGCAAAAATAATGAAAATCTGAACCTAGAATTTGATGCAAAAAAAACTAAAACGAAAAAAAGTATGATTGGGTAACTTGGCCATCAAAGATTTTGATTTTGCTGCAATACTGCGCAAGTATTAACCTTGGTTGTTTATATTATGTAAATATGTATAACATAATACATTTGAATCAAGGTCACCGTAGAACATGTTTATTACGCAGCTGAAATATTCTAGCATGGACCTGGCTGTTATAAAATACTAAGTCCATAGATCAGTTAGGCTCATTCTGATCAGTACATTGTTTTACACATCAGCGAGTTCCTCAGGCTTAAACATAGTTAGCAGGATTCTAAGCACAAGACAATCGCACGAAATTGGAGATAAAAATATTGTAGGTATCATCAAAATCATATCCGCCTTGGCAGTTTAAGATCTGGTTGGAACAAATTTTGATGGCAGTAACAGTGAAAGAAAACTTCAACACCGAATTGCATTAAGCGGACCCAAGGAAACTGCTGAGCGACCCACCGCCGAGACCGAAGATCCCAAGGAACGGCGAGCATGCTAGGGAAATAGAGGCCAGTGTACTGAGAGATAATGAGAGCTGACGTCCTTCAAGATAATGAAAAAAAGCTAGAGGCTGAAAAAAGGTCAGAACACCTAAAACATCGACGTGCAGAAAACAGTTAGCGCCTTGACAGTTTTTGACAACCTCAGATGTGGAGGTACAAAAAGTGAGTTTAAAGATATTTTGATGGTGGTCAGGTGCTCTTTCCAAAAAATAAAAAACGTAAATTACGAAAGGCAATAACAATTCACACGTAAAAAAGAAAAAAATGAGACTCTTAAAGCATTTCTCGCAGCACTAAACTCAGAAGAAGCCAGTACAAACTCGTAGCCTTGGAAGATGAATAAGATTGGGATTTGTTTTAAATCAAGATTGCGGAATTCGACGCTTCAAGACACCCTTGCTTTGGAATACTCAAACCGGAAGAGGTGTTGAAAAAGGCCATCAAATTTGAACATAAGTAACAAAACGACATTGTGTTCCAGAAAAAAAAACGCAGCGGAGACTGCAAAGGCACGAACAAAATCTAGCTCAAGAATTAAAACCAAACAGGAAACAAAAAAAGCAGACATTACTCGATGGAGGAACCAGCAGGCGTACAAAAGCTCTCAAACAAGAAAAAGCTTTTAGAAAAATTCACAAATCAAAACAGCAAAATCTGCCATTTATTAGAGGTGGTCGATCCTTCTCAGATTGAAACTTGAAAGCTTGCCCAGCAAAAACTGCAAAAACTTATTTATATTGCAAAAATGTGCAGGTCGCAGCAAGTCAACGAGATAGAAGAAGATTTGATTCTAGTCTTGAAAATGATTCCCCCCCCCACTAAACGCAGAAGAAGCCAGTACAAACTCGTAGCCTTGGAAGATGAATAAGATTGGGATTTGTTTTAAATCAAGATTGCGGAATTCGACGCTTCAAGACACCCTTGCTTTGGAATACTCAAACCGGAAGAGGTGTTGAAAAAGGCCATCAAATTTGAACATAAGTAACAAAACGCCATTGTGTTCCAGAAAAAAAAAGCAGCGGATACTGCAAAGGCACGAACAAAATCTAGCTTAAGAATTAAAACCAAACAGGAAACAAAAAAAGCAGACATTACTCGATGGAGGAACCAGCATGCGTACAAAAGCTCTCAAACAAGAAAAAAGCTTTTAGAAAAATTCACAAATCAAAACAGCAAAAACTGCCATTTATTAGAGGTGGTCGATCCTTCTCAGATTGAAACTTGAAAGCTTGCCCAGCAAAAACTGCAAAAACTTATTTATATTGCAAAAATGTGCAGGTCGCAGCAAGTCAACGAGATAGAAGAAGATTTGATTCTAGCGCCTTGACAGTTTTTGACAACCTTAGATGGGGAAGTATCAAAAAGGAGTTTAAAGATAATTAGTTATTGGTCAAGTGCTCTTTCCAAAAAAAAAAACAAAAAAAACGTAAATTACGAAAGGTAATAACAAATCACACGTGGAAAAGAACAATGTGAGACTCTTAAAGCATTTCTCGCAGCACTAAATGCAGAAGAAGCCTGAAGGAGTTGGTGGCCTTGGAAGATTAACTAGATTGGGATTTGTTTATATCAAGAATGCAGTATTCGACGCTTCAATACATTATTACTTTGCAATACTCAAACCGGAAGAGGTGTAGAAAAAGGCCATCAAATTGGAACATAAGTAACAAAACCACACTTGTGTTCGAGAAAAAAACAGAGCAGAGAATGCAAAGGCACAAAAAAAATTTAGCTCAGAAATTAAAACCAAACAGGAAACAAAAAAAGCTGACAATACTCGAATGGATTAATCAGTAGGCTTACAAACAGCTCTCAACCAAGAAGAAAAGCTTTTATAAAAGTTCACGAACCAAATTAGCAAAAACTGCCTTTTAAAAGACGTGATCGATCCTTCTCAGATTGATACTTGGAAGGATGCCCAATAAAAAAACTTATTCATATTGCAAAAATGTGCAGGTCGCAGCAAGTCAACGAGACAGTAGAAGGTTCGATTCTTGTCTTGAAAATTAATATTTATCATATCCGTTCAGTAGGCTCTTTCTGATCAGTACATTGTTTTACTTATCAGCGAGTTCTTCAGGCGATCACATAGTCAGCAGGATTCTAAGTAGAAGACAATCGCTCGAAATTGGAGATACAAGTATTGTGTGTATCATCAAAATCAGCGGTCCAAGCAAAGTGCCGAAAGAATCACCGCCGAGACCAGAGATCTCAAGGAACGGTGAGGACGCTACGGAAAAACAGGCAAGGCTACTGAGAGACAAGGTAGAGAGATATGAAAAAAAGCTAAAGGCTGAAAAACGGACACAGCATCTACTACAACGAGGTGCAGAAAACATTAGGGCGTTGACAATTTTCGACAAACTCAGATGTGGAGGTGTCGAAAGGATATTTAAAGATATTGTGATAATGATCAAGTGCTTCTTTCAAAAAAAGTAAAAACGTGACTCACGAAAGGTAAAAACAATTCACGCGTTATGAAGATGAAAGTGAGACTCTGAAAGCATTTTACGCAGCATTAAATGCAGAACCAGCCAGGTACGAACTGGTAACCCAACCTTGGAAGATAAATTAGGTTGAGATTTTTTATATCAAGAATGCAGAGCTCGACATTTCAAGAAAGACACACTTGCTTTGAAAACACTCACACCAAAAAAGGTATTGAAATTGCTTTGGAAACACTCACACCCAAGAAGTATTGAAAAGGGCCATAAAGTTTGTACATAAATCCCGAAACGACACTTGTATTTTCGAAAAAAACGCAGCTGAAACTGCAGAGGCACGAAAAAAATCTAGCTCAGGAATTAAAACCAAACAGGAACTAAAAGTGGCAGACACGACTTGAATGGAGAAACCAATAGGCGTACAAACAGCTCCAAAATGAGAAATATGCCATATAGAAAAGTGCAATATAATGGACGTGGTCGTTCCTTCTCAGATTGACTCATGAAATTTTGCCCAGCAAAAACGGCAAAAATTTATTCATGCTTTAAAAATTAGCCGCTCGCAGCAAGTCAACGAGACAGTAGAAGGTTTGATTCTGGTCTTGAAAATGAGTATATAACCGTTCAGCAGGGCCTTTTCTGATCAGTAAATTGTTTTACACATCTACGAGTTCTTCAGGCGATCACATAGTTAGCAGTATTCTAAGCAGAAGACAATCGCTCGAAAATGGGGATTTAAGTAATGTGGGTATCTTCAAAATCAGATCCGCTTTGGAAGTTTAAGATCTGGTTGGAACAATTTTTGACGGCAGTAACTTGTGCTGAAAAACCCACCACCGAGACCGGAGATCCCAAGGAACAGCAAAGAAGCTAGGGAAAACAGGCAAGGCTACTGAGAGACAACGTATGGAGAGTAGACGCCCTGCAAGATAAGAAAGTAAAAGGAGGCTGAAAACCTGACACCACATCTACTACAACGATGTGCAGAAAACAATAGGGACAATTTTCGACAAACTCAGATCTGGAGGTATATAGATATTGTGAGAATGTTCAAGTGCTCTTTTCAAAAAAGTATAAATTGTGACCTATGAAAGGTAAGAACAATTCACGCCTAATAAAGATGAAAGCGAGACTCTGGAAGCATTTCACGCAGCACTAAATGCAGAACCAGCCAGGTACGAACTGGTAACCCTACCGTGAATTAGGTTAAGATTTTTTTATCAATAAGGCTGAAAACGACATATCAAGACACACTTGCTTTGGAAACACTCACACCGAAAGAAGTCTTGAAAAGGGCATTTTAGGATCTGCTCGGAACAATCCTTGCCGGTAGTAACATTGAAAGAAAAATTCCACACCGAGTTGCGTTCAGCGGACCCAAACAAAGTGCTGAAAGACCCACTGTCGAGACCGGAGAACCCAAGGACCGGCGAGAATGCTGGGGAAAAACAGGCAAGGCTACTGAGAGAAAACGTAGGGAGAGTAGACGTCCTGCAAGAGAATGAAAAAAAGCTATAGGCTGAAAAACGGACCCAGAACGGACCCACATCGAGGGGCAGAAAACATAAGGGCGTTGAAATCTTTCGACAGACTCTGATGGGAGGTATCGAAAGGTAGTTTAAAGATATTGTGATAATGGTCAAGTGCTTTTTTCAAAAAAGTAAAAAGCGTGACTCACAAAATGTAATAAAAGTTCACAAGTAAAAAAGAACAAAGTGAGACTCTCAAAGCACTTCTCGCAGCACTAAATGCAGAAAAAGCCAGTGCAATTTGGTAACCCAACCTTGGAAGATAAATTAGGTTGGGATGTTTTATATCAAGAATGCGGAACTCGACATTTCAAGACACACTTGCTTTGGAAACACTGAAACCGGAAGACGTATTGAAATTGCTTTGGAAACACTCACACCGGAGAGATATTGAGAAGGGCCAGAAAATTTGAACATTAAAAACGAAACAACACTTGT